ATAATAATAAATTATAATTGTTGCAATAATAATAATCTAATAATATAAAATATATAATAATAAATTAACTAACCTTCATTATAAGTAGCATATTGAGCTTTAAACTTTGCGGGGATAGTTTCCGCATCATCATGACCACCGTTAGCATTCATCAAGTCAATATTCATGTTATAATTCAAAAGACGTTGATCAGGAACAGGATCACAGGACATAAAGTCGGTACGAGAAGAGTTATCATTAACATCAGAATATTGAGATGATGTAGTTTCCCGCTGAATGACGGGAGTATTAACCGAGATATTATTATCCGGACCCGAATTTGATTGCTAATATGTATAAATGTAAAATGAATAAAATGAATAAAATAAATAAGTGTAACTAACATATATGCATGATGAATATTAAGGTTATAATTACGTAAAAGAAACATTACATACTATTTGATCAGAAGCTTCCAACAATAAATGCAATGGATTTATTGGTGGAGAAGGATTATTTTCGACAGAGTTTGAGGGAATTTGTTCCATTGAACGAACAGGGGACTATAAAAAAGAGGTCAGATAATGAACCAAAAGAAAAAGGGAAATTGAAATGATTCGTACAAGTATCGCTCACCGAAAATGATTGATGAGTTGTGGAAATACATCTTTGACAGTACCAAGGACTATTCCTATCATGAAAACCATTTTTCATTAAACATCCTAACATAAAAAAAAATAAAAAAATAAAAAAATCAATTCATATTAGAAAGCATAATGTGTAACACGTCATTCGTTATATATGGGTATAAGCATACAACGATAACAACAACGAACGATAACAACGAACGATAACGAACGATAACAACGATAGAAAATAATAACACACATAATAAATATAGAAATAATAATAGATGACTGATAAAGACAGTGATAACGTACCACCATGAGCGTAAACATCACAATTTTGCGAAGCGCAGGAAACCAAGGAATGAAAGTCTTGAGGATTTATAACGGAATGACATACGTAGCAATAGAAACCGACTTGACGTTGATTCTTTAAACATTAAGTAGAATTGCAGATCTTTAGATTTAATATCAAATTAGGAAATAAAACCGGACAAAAATTGGAAGAAAATTGACAGCTCTCTGACAGTTTCACAACAGTACAGAAGAAGAAACCACGAGACAGCACACAGCATGGAAGTTGATGTAGCATCCATAGTGGAAAAAAATATTTTCCGAGGGGTAGCACAACTTACCCAACAATTAGAAGAAGTCGGATCACCATAAATTGTCGTAACAGTTTCTCTAGAATAGACTTGACCAACCACTCTCGTATATGATTGTTCGACATTATTGAATGATAGCATAGTTGTATTTGAGGAGTATAAAGGCGGAGGGGGTATATTATGGTGACAAGAAATTGGTCCATTAGTATTCTTATTGTTTTCCACGCAGTTAGTAGCGCGATAAGGAACAACTTTTTTAAAAAGTAAATAAAGTAATTAAAAGACAAGTATAAAAAGACATATAAAGGCATAATGTTTTTATTTTTAAAGCATACCTTTAGAATTCTCAGACGAGTCAGTAGAAAACATTGTTTTCAGATCCCAAAGCAATAGATTCTTTACAATTTAAAAGCTTATATGCGTTCCTTCAGATAATCTTTAAAAAGATATACGTTTCTGTTTCAACGCGTTTAAGAAAAGTAAGCGAATAAATTTTTTTGTTTTTTTAGTAGTGAAGAAAAAAAAAAGGAAAAAAAGAAAGGTTTAGTAAGTTTTGCGGTTCAAAAGGAGAAGCATCAACGGAGAGGGGGAATCAAAGCTTGATCAATCAAGTATTGCTTTATACAACTTTACCAAACAATGGACAGCCGCACATGCAATCAAGTCAGAAAAAAAAAATGTGATGATTGATTAGTTTTCTTATTTTTTTTTTTTTTTGGGGTGGGGGTGAAAGTAGGTGTTTAGGGGAAAGAGTGAATCCGTATTCAAAGGATTTAGAGCAAAGGGTAAATGAACTATATACAGTTATATTTATCAATACGCATCAATCTATTCAATTGATAAATGATAGTGGAGTTTTAATTTTCAGTAATTGGTAAGACAGAGTAATATATATTTCTTTACAATTCTAAACCTCTTAACATACATACAATAACGATAACCGGCTACTCACCATTTTATACATATACATATAATTAGCATTATTAAGCGTAGAAGTAATGTAATTTATGTGTCATTAAAATTGAATCTTCATATCTAATCGGAGGATTTTTTTTCCTACCATTTTTTACCATTTTAAATGTCAGCGCATGATTCACCTTAATAACTTCGTTATGATGATGTGAGATACATCAATCAGTGTTTGTTAGTACGGGAACATGATTTTTTGTGTGATTTGTGCCATAAAAGTATCTTATAATGCTTCAATGCATCAATGCCCTTTCTTCGGAGTGTGATTAAAAAAAGCCATTTACAAGGGCATCCTTAATAAAGTTTAGCTATAACTCCTGATATTTCCATGATTACTGGATTATAAAAATTTAGAAAGTATCAAACAGATCGAGATGATCGAGATATCGATAATTTGAATTAAAACTGATTTTCAAAAGATTTGTCCGTGAGAATTCTCGATAATAAAATTAGCATAAATGGATAGTTTTGAAATCAAGCCTCTAGTAATTTCCACATGAATTATTCTTTTCCTTAAAAATAATACACGCATTGCGTTTTGTTTTTTTAACGTCAGGGCATTGCAACTTGCGTTAAAAAAAAAAAAAAAATAGATATTAAATAAATGCAATTGTTTTATTGAATAAAGAAAATAGTAACGTAGGTGTGTAACCTGGATGATAAATCTTTTGACGATCCGTGACATTAGTGACATTTAATATCGCAACATAATATCGCAACATAATATCGCAACATAATATGCAACATAATATCGCAACATAATATCGCAACATATATTGCAACATAGTATCGACATAATATCGACATAATTTATTCGATTACAAACTATCCTTAAACTACTTGACAATACCCTCATGATTGCATCAATAGTACATAGCATAATTTACCTTGCTTAACAACCAATCGAACATTATAACGACCAATCGAACATTGTAACAACTAATCGAACATTGTAACAACTAATCGAACATTGTAACAACCAATCGAACATTGTAACAACCAATCAAACATTGTAAGAATCAAACATTGTAAGGAACAAGATTATATACAATTATTAAAGAACCGGTTAAGTTCAATTGAGTTTAAAGCATACAACTCCTTTGTTCATTTCTGTTTTTTAAAGTAAATTGTGCCTGCATTGTGTTTTTCTCCAAAAAAAAAAAAATAAAATAAATAAATAAAATAAACTAAAATAAAATAAAATACCAATAAAATTGTTCCTTTTAGAACTACAATGTTTATCTGCGAGGGAATGTGCCTTCATACTACCTTACTTTTGGTTTTTGTTTGTAAATGCCCATTCATTCACCATATCTATTAATATCTATTTGACGCGTGATATAAATTAAAATTTTTCAAATTAATATATTTAGATTTACATGACTTCTTTTAGTCACATGTTTACTATTACGGGAATGCATCTATTCTTAAATTATAAATTCTGTGATGTAATCAAGCAATCATGTACTGCCTATGGTTAGTATCATGCGCAGTAGAATTTCTATCGGTCTTTTGTTTACAATATTTGTGCATGTAATCTACGTAATACCAAAACAAAAGAAACCTAATACCGATACCTCGAATACTTGAATACTCGAATAATCGATATAGTATCGATATTCTGATGCTCCTGAGTCTTGCCACGTGATATCTATAATAATATCACATGTTTAGACTTGTTTAACTTTTCATATGCATTAAAAATTTGAAAATGAAAGAAATGAAATTAAAATGAAATGAAATGAAATGAATAAAAAAAAAACAATTGTTTTTAATATATTGAATAAAATAGAAAAGGTTTCTAATTTGCACAAATATATAGGTAGCTTAGGTGGCTTAGCGTGTGTCCACCATAATTCAAGGTTTTAGATTAGTGAAATTTACTATAAATCGTATAATAATTTGTGGACTATATAAATGTAGTCTTAACGATCGTTATGACTATGGTCCATTCGCATTATTCCCATTCCTCGATAAAGAGAATGCTTGTCCTGCCCATGCTTTCATGTCGACTTCAATCTCTTCATATTTTACTAAGAATGAATGGCCCTTATAAAAGTGTGAATAAAAATTTAACTCATGATACAAATTAGTTTCGGAAATCGTTTTTTATTTATGCGATACTTACCAACAATTGCTTGTATGTAGGACGATCTTGAGGACGTTTACTTAAACTAAATTAATTATTTATTAAAATTAATTAATTATTAAAATTATTAACTAACAGTAACTATATAGTTTAATGAATGATTTGAAATTAATCTAATAACTAATTTGATAACTAATTTGATAACTAATTTGATAACTAATTTGATAACTAATTGGATAAATAATTGGATAAATAATTGGATAAAATAATTTGATAAATAATTTGATAAATACCATCGAGCTACAAAATCTCGACACTCTTCTGAGAATTTATCCTCAGGTAACGATGGCGGTGTTCCCGTAACGATAGCATTTAATTGAACAAACATACTAATTTGTTCATTCTTATCCGGAATAGGATATGGATATTTTCCGGTTCCAAGTTCAACCATGGCTAATCCAAGAGACCAAACATCTGATTGCACAGTGTATGTACTAGCTTCACCACTATGTATCCGTTCGGGCTATGTAAAGAACATGCGTTTCAGTGTTACGAGAAAGAAATTACTTTCTTTAAAATTTGATTAACAATTAACAAGTTAATCATTTCTTTATTCGTCATACCGCCATATAACTTTGACATCCAATGTTAGTTTTCGCAAGTGATTGTATCAATTGACCGGATACTCCAAAATCACACAGCTTCACCTCACCTGCTTTATTTACAAGGACGTTTGTGGGTTTTACATCTGTAAAAGAAAATATATTTCATTTGTCACCCTTTCTTTTTACCTTTTTACATCAAGATTACGTATGCATATTATATATGTATTATATATATCATATATATGTATTCTATACAAAGATCACGTACCACGATGAATAATATCCAACTTATCTTTCAAGAATAACAACCCTTTTACCATCTATACATTATTATAAATATTACAAATTAATCAATTTTATTTATTTATTGTAAAATATAAAATTGTTAAGAATTTATTAACGATAGATAACTTACAGAACTTGTAATTTTTGCAAGCACATCTTCTGGTACTCCATCTCCGTATAATTTATCTAATGATCCAGCATCCATATACTCCATACAATAATATACACAGGATTCAATGAAAAAGGCTCCATAAAAATCAACAATATAGTCACTCTTGGCTTTATGGAGAATATCCAGCTCCATTAATATTTGATTTAATTTTGCTTCATCAAGTTCAAGACGGATTTCCTAAAATATTTATTCCAACAAATCATTCATTAAAAAACAAATCTTTTATTAAAAACAAAATCTTTTATTAAAAAAAAAATCCTTGTTACTAAAAAAAAAAAAAAAAATAACAACCTTCATAGCCATTGTAACGTTGGTAGGTTTGTGGAATACCTTTTGTACTGTTCCATATTGTCCCTTTCCAATTTCTTCCATTACTTGTAATTCATCCATATTAATTTTGTAACTATTACCATTGCTAAAATCTACTCCTTGCGCATGTAAAACTGCCTTTCCACTAAAATTAAGCCTTCCTGATGGGTCTCTAAGAATATAAGGTAAAAAAATATTAAGCATAAAAAACAATTTTAAACATAAACTACTTTATAACTCTCTTAATTCGCTCTATACTTACACAAACTTTGAAAAGTTTGAAAAATTCGTCTTCATTGGACTCGCATCAGGAAGCTTCATAACAACTTTTCGTGTAGCTTTCGTTGTCATTTTCGAGACATATAATTTTATAAAAAAAAAAAAAATGAATATGAATGAACAACCACCAGTACTTAAAAATAGTACAAGACTACACTAACATACTTAAGCACTATTTATAAACAAAAAAACTAATAACTATTTATATGCTTACTATCAATGGTTATAAACTCCTGTCAAAAAAGATTAGATAAGATACATATATATATTACTTCTATTTGGTATCAATTCCAAAAATGTATTTATGCTTTCTAAATCACGATCAGAGCTAAAAACAATCCTATTCATTTACTGTTACGTACAATGCTTATCACCATCATTCAAATTGTCATAAATTGTCTTTTTTGATACCAATAAATATATATATATTTTTTAAAAATATATATATATATATTTATTTTAAAAAAATATATATATTATATATACTTTCAAAAAAATTAAGTTAAACCAATTTGTATTCTTGATATTTCTTGTGTGGCTCTCTGACTAAGGACGTACGCACGTACGTGCCATTTACAAACGCACTATGGATCCTAGATGTTCTCTTTTAACTATGAACGAGATGACATTGTTGCACGAGTGTAGTACGTAAGCACATACATACAACTTTTCTAACCTATACCAATGCATAATTTAACATCTAGAATGTGTAACCAACTATATATAGGGGGTCGGTTAAAGCGGAGCGAATTCAATATATGATCTACATACTGCATATGTTGTATTCTTGATATCTATATA